ACAGACAGATATAGATAGATAGATAGATAGATAGATAGATAGATAGATAGATAGATAGATAGATAGATAGATAGATGATAGATAGATAAACAGATGTTAAAACCGGATGATGGGAAAGTGCTACTCACATCCAAAGCTTCCATTAGTTGACACCAGAGTCATGTTGGAAGGCCATGGGTTCCGAACAATATCTTGCCAGTGTATGGTATCAGCATAACACAGGAATTTGTTCTGGTCTACATAGACGCCACCATTTAGAATTTCTGTATTGGAAACAAAAACCAACCATCAATTTGTTTTTAAAAAATGTTAGCCATCTGAAAGGCACTGTTCAAATTATTTTCAGTGTTAGAGTCATATTATGAGCCAGGTTCTAGAAATATTATCATTGATTCACTTACCTTGATTTCAATACTTCAGAAGGTTGAAAAGTATAGACCCAAAATATAAACAATTCTAATGGACAAACCTTCAATATTTTGATAGAAATATTTTTAGTATCTGTGACTTTACTCTGAATTTATAACAGTATCACTTGTAGTATTTCATAATCTACTACTTTGGTTTAATATTACATATTAAGTAATGAATTACAATTATTATTTTATTTAATGATAATATAACATACCAGAATATGAACTAATTAATGTTATTTAATAGAACTCTTGTTATTTTGTTTTTTCTTTAATTAATCATTAAAATAAATTTCCAAAAATATCATTCCATGGCCACAGACTGTGAAGTCTCAAGATCTTTGGTACCATTTTCAAATGTGCCTTCTTTAGGCTTTATTAAATCTGATGTTTAATAGAGCCCATACTTTAGTAATAAGCATAAAGTAAAAAATAAAAATTAAATGTTCTGTTATAAAATGTTCATTCCCACTTGAAATGTTATCAATAGATTGGTCAATAATTAAAAATAACACAAAGCAAGATGATATATCATTCCTGTTTGGCACTGGAACCTGGAAAAGATATAAAATTCCATGAAGGCTACTTTTTACTTGATTTTCTATTAAACAACTAATACTGATTACTTAAAGTATTCCCCAGGCACAGTGTATGATGACATATAAAGACCTTCTTTCAAATACCTTTAAGTTATTCAGAAAAATTAAGATAGCTCCTCTGAAAAATGTTATTTTAAAGAAATTAGATATACAAATAGTGCTGTCCTGCTTATTATCTACTAGAGTTTCTCTCTGTTGTCCAGGATATAATCTTAGAATCATTATATGATCATTTGGAAACTCCATCAACAAACTAAGAAAAACAAGTAAGCATCTTTGCAAAAGGTAGGATTAGATGCAGTGTTGGACCAGCTGCTGTACAGAGTCAGTTTCCTTCCTTGGTTTTCTGAGTGCTTGTATTATCCACTCTAGATACAGAATGGCTATGTTATCTAAGACATAATGTTCTGATGGGGAAGAAACAGAAGGCTCTTCCTGGTATACACAAAGCCATAAGTGGATAGAGAAAAAATGCTGTATATACAGAATGGTACTTTGTTTAGCTATGAAGAAGAATAAAATCATGTCATTTGCTGGAAATACAACTAGAGATAATGATACTAAATGAAATATCCGATGCAGGAAGATGAATATCAAATGTTCTTTTTTATTTGTAGAGCTTAGATATTTTATAGGAAGATAAGAACATAAATGCATGAAAATTGGGAATGTAGGTAAAGAAGAGATATGGGGAACAAATGAGATTAATAGGAGGTGCACAGAGACAAGGAGAATAAGAGTTTAGATAGTAGATGTACGTGATGTACTCATGTAAGATATCTATGAAATCTATCATTGTGTATAATGAGTATATTATCTTAAAATTCACTAAAAAATAAAATGTAAATAATAACTGCATTTCGTTATTCAAAAAATTTTTCATTGGTACTTTATGAAAGACAAAGGAAACAGCAGTTTAAGGACATATTGCTAACCAATAAATTCTAGAATGTAACATTGTGGAAAGAGAGTCAGGCTCCTTTGTACCTAGAGAGTCATCTTCCTTATGCAGTTCTTCAGAGTTTGTAATATTGTTATTTTCTCCTTTTTGTGGGCCTGGTCTGAGCTAAATATTTAAGAGCTCTCTTAAACCAGTGTGAAATGAATGAACATAGGAATATGTAACAGCAGAGTAGCATTTGCTGATGCAAAGTTGGTGGCACATTCAAAGAACCTGGTGGCTCTGCATGTATAAAATCCTCTAGATTAATTTACATTTTTCAAAGAGTTCCATTTCAAACTCAGTTCCATTCTCATCATCAATCTTTTCACTGCCTGTTGGTTCCACTTCTTGAAGAGGAGGAAAAAAAGAAACAAGGGGGAATTAGATCATCTTTCTTCTTCTAAAACCTAGTTCATTATTTTTCATGACCCAACCATTCAACCTTCATCAGAGCAGAAGGGAGATGTAAGGTTGATTGTAAAAAGAATCTCTGTATTAATGTTTGGCATTAAGTTTCTATGGGAAAATGTGCACAGATTTTATACTAATAGCTTTCTCATAAGGCACTGTGAGATACTCTTCAGGTCTAGGAATAATTCTTCATTAGGTAAAAAGAAAGAGTATCTCGACTGCGATTCAGGAAATGAAGGTTATTTTTCAGTCTACATTTAGAAAAGTTGTACTGAAAAAAAAAACCCACCAGGAGTGAGGTAGTAGTTCAAACATTATGAAAACAAACAAAAGAAAACAACCTTAGTTTTCAAGAGTAGCATTTTAACTCAAACTGTTCACATGGAAGAAACACACTGTCCATTTTCTACTTCTCCCTAGCTGGATATTCTCAAATAGAATCAGATTGTATTATGATGAATAATAATCTTCTCAAATCTCTTTCTTCAGCAGAATTAATCTACTACTATTATTAACCTTTGTTTCTTAGAAATATTTCATTGGAGAGTTTGGCTTTTTCTTGGAAAAGGGATATAGAAAAGAGACAATAATAATTTAAAAACAAGCTTACAGACTAAAATTTTGAACTAAGGCACAGTCATGGTCAATCTGGATGGTACTTTTTGCCATGAAAGAGCTGAAAGCCAGCTTCCTCAAACAATTCAGTGGGGAGATTTATACATTTTTAGCTTTCAATATGGAATAGTTTCTTTGTTTCAGTGTAAATAGCTGTTTTGCCTTTATGACATATATTTTTCTCCACTTTTGAATGACAAAATCCCACAATCATAAAAAAGTAAGTTTTCATCGACATTTACAGGAATATACTGTAGGATGTCACATTTTAAATACTTGTCTATAAAAATATTTTCAGGAAATAATCTTAGAATTATCTTTAAATATGATTTAAAGTTTTGTCTGATTTTTATAACATTATAAATGTATAAAATATTATATCACTTGTGAGAAAATACTTGATTAGATTATTTTTCAAATATGAAACATCTATGGGATGATTCCTACCCATACAAATATACTAATGAAAGAGTACCCTGATATGATTGACGATGAAGGATTTAAATTACTGCCAGACAGGACAAAATTACCAGAAAAACAGGAGGATTTGGGGAGATCTTACTCTGAAAAAGTACCAATAAAGTCACTTGTATTGATATCTATCTTTAGTAACTTATAAAAGCAGCAGTGTTTTTACTTGTTTTATTGAAGATTTATTTGAAAAAAAACCCACCTGTTTCATAGCCACAGTTTACTTTTCCCTAACATGAAGCTAAAATAAGTAACAATTAAATTTTAGGATCGAGATTAAAAAAGAGTTCTATATTAAAAGGAAGAGAGGAAAAACAATGAATGAATTTTATGGACAAAGAGGCATGAGTTCAGGTTTAGCAGAGTGGCTATCAGTGTGAAATAAGTGAAGAAGTTCAAGGCAATTATATTGTTGTTAATTGGTCTTTGATCTTTTTTGGGGGGACCCGCCACCCAGCTCCCAAATAAATCACTCACGGAGGCTTATTATTAATTATGAATGCCCGGCCTTAGCTTGGCTTAGTTTCTTGCCAGCTTTCCTTAACTTATTCTGACTACCTTTTACCTCTGGGATTTTCCTGTTCTCTTACTTCTGTAAATCTTAGTCTTACTCTGTGGCTTGCTGTGTAGCTGGGTGGCTGGCCCCTGGAGTCACCCTCCTCCTCTGGCTGCTAGATCTCCAATTACCCTTCCTAGATTTCTCCTTCTATTTACACTCTCTGCCTGCCAGCCCTGCCTGTCCTTTCTACTGCCTCGCTATTGGCCAGTTTTTTATTAGACCAGGAGGTATTGTACACAGGTACAGTAACCCAGCTTCACAGAGTTAAACAGATGCAACATAAACAAAAGTAACACACCTTAAAATAATACTCTACCACACAATCTCATCTCACTGTACTCATGATCTGTTCTAAATACATATCAGAGTAAATTAAGAAAGATACACAGAGATTCTTGGCCATTTAATCAATTGGCATAGGAGAAGCTTTGTGTTTTCTTACTATATTGTATGAAACTATTTCCAGTAATTTCTCAAAACAGAACTGATTCTTACTAATAAATGTTAAAGTTATATTAGATATGGCATTCTGTAAAAATAAAAGTATCATTCATTACTGAAAAACCCCATTAAACACTTAAATATATTTGCATCTCAAGTTTTTCTCACTAAATATATAGGGGTCAAGTGAAAGATGGAATAAATGTTTTTATACTTGGAGTAAGGAAATAACAATTTACATTATGCTGTAATGTAACTATGGGATTTAACTTTAAAAACACATATATAACATTATTTTAAACTTAAATATGACTAGACTAAGCTTCGTGAAGTTAAGGGACATGGTTCATAACTGTCTTTGCAACACCTACCATTGGGCAGTCTTTGCCCAATGCATACCTTTGCTTATATGAACAAACATTAGCCATGTATTTTCATGCCAACATTCATCAGCTAACTTACGCTGAATCTTCTAGTTTTAATTTGCATTGTGACTAAGTAAACTTAATGATGAAAGATAACCTTTTCCATAAACAACTTAAATCATTTTATCTGAATCTGTGTTTAAGTCAGAAAGTCCTGTTTGTCAAACTTGTATCCCGGTACTGGGTATTGCAATATTGAGATATACAACAGATGTTTACTAAGTTAAAATCTATAGATAGTAGAATTTATTGAATATAAAGTAAATTAAATACATCCATATGTAATTTTATGGTTAGACTACTTGTTAACCGAAATGAAATAAATGTTACTATATAAAATGCTCAAAACTTATACAGGATTACTGTAGAGAGCATGTTTAATAATT